GAAACACTTATGCGTGTGAACAACTTTTTAGTCGCATGAAGTACATCAAATCACAAGTGAGAACACGAATTACTGATGTTCATTTGGAAAACTGTTTGCGTGTAGCGACAACATTAGTCGAGATCAATTTTGATGCACTTAGTTCTGTAAAACAAAGTCAGATGTCTCATTTTTAAGTATTTTTAAATTGTCTAATAAATATGTTTCTCGGTTATTGAATAAGTGATTCTCAATTATGTTTAATTTTCTTCAAAAATAATATATATACCTATTTTTTTTGTGTTTATTTACATTAAACCAGGCAAGTGTTTGACCACGATCTCACCTACTGGAAAGCAACGATGTGGTTGAAGCTGTAGCACGCTTGCTTGTTTACTTAAATTAACAAAAAAAATTAGGTGCGTGGCCCGGCAGGAAATATTATTTCTGAAATTTGGCCTGCCTGCTAAAAAGGTTGGCCACCCCTGCTGTAGAGTCTTTATGGTATTGTTATTTTTAGGTTTCATGTAGCTTATGCCCTGAGTAAGAAATTTGGCATGTTTTGTGGTTTGATGATGATGTGTGTTAGGTGTTTTACTAGTTCCTGGTGCAGTGATGTAAACTTGTTGTACCAGAAATTGTGAATGTTGTCTACACCAGGTGTCTTCCAGTTGTGTGTTCTGTTACAGCGTATCTGATGTCGTGTGTATTTATTTCAGCACAGAGCATAGTTGCAAGTTAGTTATTATTATTAGAACAGTGTATATTTTTAATAATTGTCATTGACAAGTGAATAAAATTATTTTTTATAATTAATTTTATATGTAAACTTACTTCTAATAATGGATGACCGGGAAAAAGTGAACATGTATGACCATCCGGTCCTATTCCTAAAAGCAACAAATCAAAACTAGGAAATTTATTTGCTTCAAAATATTCCTTCATTTTTTTTGTATAATCTTGAGCAGCAGCTTCAACTAAAAAAATAAAACAACATAATAAACTTCCCGAAGCCAATACATTGATACTCAATCAAACAAACACCTTAATAAATAGAGCTATAAATTTGCTAATCATTAGTAATAGCAAATTTATAGCCTGATCTATTAAGTCATTCATTTGGTTGAGCATGAAAAAACATTTAATGAACATGTCAAAAGAATGTTTACAAATATAAACAACTTTTTTTGGAGGAGTTATAAATGTTTGAAGTTATTATTTACTTTTATCCAACTTTGTTATTACATTTATGCTTTCACAGTCAGTGGCATAGCAAACATAACTGACACCCAGGGCACAACACTTTATTGGTGCCCCCTCTCCCCTCCAGAAATACATACAGCCAATTGCAGAGACAACATTTAGAGACTGACAGCGGTTTACAGATCGGGTAGACCACTGTTCAGAAAAATTTAATTGCAGAGACGACGTTTCTGCAATGAAATTTGATGCAATTTGAAGAAATGAACTTGCAAATGAATGTAGACAGCGATTAGAAACAAGTTTTCTAGACTCACTCAACAGCAGATTTAGAGGGCTTTTTGATTCAAGTGGTAGCATTGTTCGTGGAAAAGTTTAGATAAAAACAGATATCGTTCTTTGATAAATGTTGTAAATGGTACAAATCGACAAAATCATTCATTAATTAATTGCTTGAAGCAAAAACAACAAAATTAAATACTTTAAATTTGTTTTAAATGTTCCAATCCCAATATTCAAATGGGTGAAGACTTAAAACTACAATTAATTTAAATCAGATGCATTTATTTACAATTCGAGTATCGTGTCGGTTATAAAACGTTAATGCATTTCAGAATCATTGTACTGTTAAATGAGACAATTTTAATAATTACAGAAATCTGTTTATAGATATAAAAAAAATGTAATATTAATAATAAAATATTTAAAATTATTCATTTCAACAGTAATAAAATGTCAAAATAATTCCTTAAAAATCTATTCCGAAGACAAATTTCGAATTTGGTATAAATTTTCTAAATATGGATTTGTTCATATTTTAAACCGCATTGGCGACAAAATTAAATATCGAAATGGAAAAGGATTGTCATTAAATGCCGAACAATGGTTTTGACAGCCTTAAGATTTTATTTCTGGAATCTTTCAGAATATAGCTGGCGACCATTTCTAACGTCACAAACAAATAACCTGATTGGCCAAACGACTCCTCAAACAGGGGAGTAATAGCAAAGTAAGTAAGAGCCAATGTTTTGCCGAAGTTCATTTAGACAGCGATCAGAAATAGACGATTGTCGTCTTTGCAACACATTTTAAACCGTGGTTCAGCCAGCCAACATCTGTAGACTGTTCTGTTGATAAATGTCATTTAACGTAAACTCTGTCTCTGCAATCAGCTGATATAGTTTGTTTTGGAGACCATTTGGATGCCCCTCTGCGAGTGGCGCTCAGTGCATGATACCCTTGCACCCCCTTGCTACGCTACAGTTCACAGTATCTATATTCTTAGTAGTAATTAGGTTTAACAAACTTTATTACTAAGCAATAAGTACACCAAGACACCAATAACCAGCAAAAATGGATATACTTTAAACAAAACAAACATTTTCTTCCATTTAAAATGGAAAATGTTTGTTTTGTTTAAAATTTTTTATAGTTATTGGTGTCTTGGTGTACTTATTACCATGTTATACCAATATAGTGGTAGTGACTTATTTCTAAACCACATTTTGTTAAAATATAATTCAATTGCAATTTTTTTAACTTACCATTTAACACAGGATTTATGGTCACAAATTGTTCTTCAGTAATTGGAACTTTTCCTAACAATTCCTCTTTATACAAACCATAAGTACTTTCTTTGTCATCAAAAGGCACTAATCTTTCATCACAAAAAAAGAAACGCCATTTAGTCCATTCTGTTACGATTGATAAAAATGCCTGCGATGCATATTTAATTAAGCTTCCACCTGAAACGATAAATACGAATTATATTTTAAAGTTTACAATTTCAAAATGTTACAAATATAGCCTATATTTTTAATTGAGACTTGACAAAAAGCATTTTTTTAAATTAAAATGTAACATATATCCTAGGAAGTTGTTATTTTTCTTGGAGTGCCATCATCTATTGAAGGTTGACAACGACTTTAGCAAACTTTTTTCAATCCTTTGCCGTTAAGTAACAGTTCATCATTCATTTCGTGCTTTAATATTATATAATTATGTTATTCTATGTCTTCCATCTTCTATTTCCTTCAATTATAAGTTGGGTTTAGGCAAATTTACTATTGTACAAGATGTAACCAGATATGAATTCTTCAGCACAGAGCATAGTTGCAAGTTAGTTATTATTATTAGAACAGTGTATATTTTTAATAATTGTCATTGACAAGTGAATAAAATTATTTTTTATAATTAATTTTATATGTAAACTTACTTCTAATAATGGATGACCGGGAAAAAGTGAACATGTATGACCATCCGGTCCTATTCCTAAAAGCAACAAATCAAAACTAGGAAATTTATTTGCTTCAAAATATTCCTTCATTTTTTTTGTATAATCTTGAGCAGCAGCTTCAACTAAAAAAATAAAACAACATAATAAACTTCCCGAAGCCAATACATTGATACTCAATCAAACAAACACCTTAATAAATAGAGCTATAAATTTGCTAATCATTAGTAATAGCAAATTTATAGCCTGATCTATTAAGTCATTCATTTGGTTGAGCATGAAAAAACATTTAATGAACATGTCAAAAGAATGTTTACAAATATAAACAACTTTTTTTGGAGGAGTTATAAATGTTTGAAGTTATTATTTACTTTTATCCAACTTTGTTATTACATTTATGCTTTCACAGTCAGTGGCATAGCAAACATAACTGACACCCAGGGCACAACACTTTATTGGTGCCCCCTCTCCCCTCCAGAAATACATACAGCCAATTGCAGAGACAACATTTAGAGACTGACAGCGGTTTACAGATCGGGTAGACCACTGTTCAGAAAAATTTAATTGCAGAGACGACGTTTCTGCAATGAAATTTGATGCAATTTGAAGAAATGAACTTGCAAATGAATGTAGACAGCGATTAGAAACAAGTTTTCTAGACTCACTCAACAGCAGATTTAGAGGGCTTTTTGATTCAAGTGGTAGCATTGTTCGTGGAAAAGTTTAGATAAAAACAGATATCGTTCTTTGATAAATGTTGTAAATGGTACAAATCGACAAAATCATTCATTAATTAATTGCTTGAAGCAAAAACAACAAAATTAAATACTTTAAATTTGTTTTAAATGTTCCAATCCCAATATTCAAATGGGTGAAGACTTAAAACTACAATTAATTTAAATCAGATGCATTTATTNCCTTTTTATTAAAACAGTTGATATTAGTGGGATGGATGTCTCTGAAGAGAAGCAGCAAGATTATTGATATTCGCTTGAAAATTGGTAAGTTTTAGTCACAAATCACCACGGTTTTCCAAGTTTAATCTGTTCCTTTGTTTTGTCAAAATTGCATTCACGTGGCTGAAACCAGCTTCAACTACGTATGAAGTTGGGAATGTGAGTAAGAAAGGTTCGGCTTCTGCTCTGAGCTTGGGATATTTAGTGGCAATATTGTTATTGCTCCAAAATTCACTGAGGTTTTTATTTTTAAACAATGCTTTAGTTTCAAGATCTACATATATTTCACTCGGTTCATCTTCTAAGCCAGGTTCACTACCTTCATTATCTATTTTTACATCAAATGGATTAGCAAACCATTTGGGAAAATGCATATTCTCCAAGTCTTCAAAACGTGCTTTAAAGTCTTCTCTTAATTTATCAAGATGTTTAATATATATCTCCAAATCATGGTCAGAAATCTTTTCATTTTCTTTTAGTACTCGCAAGTTTGAAAAATATTTAAAATCGGATCGTGCCAGTGAAGATTTAAATAGCTCCATTTTTACTTGAAAGGCCATTTTTTCTTGCAAACGCTTCTGTACTATATTAATGATTTTCAATATATTACGATATTTTCTCTGTAAAGGACAAAATATCTACATTTAGATATAAAATACTTAGTGTGACAACCCAACTAGAGTGTAACAGTGCAACGTATGTCTGTGTATAATGAACTACCAGCGTTCATAACATGTTTGCGACACTAGTACATTGCCAGATGCATGAAAACAGAGTAACACATGCTTAAAGCGGCGTAGGCTAAAGCAAAACTCAAGTTATAACTAGGGTAGACAGTAATGTTGTTGATAATATCCGTATTTCGAATTTTTATTGGAATAATCTATTTTTTTCCTAGACAATTTAATTGATCCTCTTTGGTATTAATTGACCCCCTTTTGATCCTTGTGTATTAATCGACCCCTGGAGAACTCTTATCGACCCCTGGAGAACTCTTATCGACCCCTGGAGAACTCTTATCGACCCCTGGAGAACTCTTATCGACCCCTGGAGAACTCTTATCGACCCCTGGAGAACTCTTATCGACCCCTGGAGAACTCTTATCGACCCCTGGAGAACTCTTATCGACCCCTGGAGAACTCTTATCGACCCCAAGGGGTCAATATCGACCACTTTGGGGATCCCTAGTCTAGACTCTTCCTTTCCCCAAAATGTATAATTATGAAATTTTCAGAACCCCCGAAACCATATACCTCTTTTAATATTTAATAGAAGATCCCTTTAATAAATATAGATATCCATAAGAAAAAATTTGGTAAAATTGCAGTTCTTAATGAGGGGTTTGGACCCCCTAGAGGACCAGAAAAGTCAAAAGAGCCATATGGAAATGGTCTACAGGTTTGATAAGGTCCCAACTGCATCATTCCGAGCAACATTTGTACTGAAAAGTTCATTTTAGGATGGATTTTTGCACTCAATTAATTAACAAGGAAACTAATATAAAATCATTGTTAAAATTTAATACTGTAAAATTTCAGGTATAAATTAGTATTTTAAATAGATACAAATACAGATAAAGCTGATTCCTACCAAATTACAGTGTATGGAATGTGTCATACATCTCACTTTTATTTAAATACATTATGTGAACAAATTAAAAGTAGGTCAACTGTTTATACCTGAAAGTCCTATTGTGAAAACATCATTTTTCTTTAGTTTCTCACCAGCAATTTCTTCAATTAAATCCTTCAACTTATTTACAATAAGTTGTTCGTCGCGCAATACAAATATCTGTTTCCCCATTATACAAATCAAGCGATTTGATAAACTTTCCGACGTTTTCTACGTTAGTCCCGTTAATTTTAGGACCGGTACTTCGTGTCTTATTACGTACAAACCAAGGACACGCGTCAAAAGCGTGAAAGTAATTGACATGTTTCGAAGCCGTTGCGTCATGGAGACGTCACTACTCGAACCTCCCAAAAGCGAATTTCCTACGTTATACAACTTATTACTATCACCAGTGCCTTTACATTATTTTTACAAGAAATTAACAAGAGGCGAGAAGAGGTCAATTTAAAGAAAAATTGACAAATTATGTAAATTACAACTGGCAACACTGACCGAATCGTCAGATGAGGATTCAATGTATTGACCGGACCAAAACAAACAAGCCGGAGGCCAGGTGTTAATTTTGGTTTTTTTATTGTGAATATTAAGCGATATCTTATGTAATCTAAGTGGAGAAAGGACTGAAATGAAGTTTGCCGAACATTTAGGAGCTCACATCACGCCTGAATGGAGGAAACAATACATTCAGTACGAGGTTAGTGGGAGATTTAATGAAAATATTGTAGGTGTTACTTTTAGTTACTTCATACGTATCTAAACATACGAGTATTTGATTAAAAGTAACTCATACTGAAATTTCTGTTTGGAATGGTTAAAAAGTTCTATTTTACGTTTAAATAATTTAATTATCCGTAAATTATATATTATGAGTTAATTTGTAAGGAAATACTCTGTTTAATTTATTAAATTTATTTTATGAATACAGTATATTATTATAATACTGTAGAAATACTTTTAGTCATGCTGTCTCTGCAGAAATTTAATTTTAAAAAAATAATAAGATAAAATATTTAAAAATGATTATAACAATTAAATTCTATTCTAATTTTTTACATTGTTTAATTTTTTTAATGGTTTATTCCTGTTATTGATTAATAAATGCTTTAAATAATGTTACTGTACTTTATTAAAAAAATCCAAATATTTATCTTAGTTTTTTTTATGAAGTGTATCTTTTGTCGTCGTGGAAGTAGTACTGTTTTTTTTGGCAAATTTACAAGAATACCCAAACCTATTTAACAAGAGGGACATATCTTGCAATTGTGCTTCCTTTATTATTTGCTGTAGTATAACCAAGCAAAAGTTTCTTTACATTTGTAAATAAATAAAATAAGTACAGGAAAAAGACGTGACAAATTCACTTTATACGCATGTTCGTATGGTATCTAAGATTTACTCTTCGTCTATGGGTGCCCGCAGGAAGTTTTTCGGGGGGAGGAAAGTTTGGATACAGATAATTACATCTATAAATCTTTATTAAATTATTTAATTTACTTGGGTTTTCACAAGCAGATTATAGAATATGGTATTGCATCAATACAAAAGACAAGGATGTAAGATTACATTTATCGATCTCTTCTGTCATTATAATTTGTGGAAGTTTTTACCTGGAATCAAGGTCCACGATTGTCCCCTTTGCAGATACTTGTGTCTTGATCCAGTGATACAAGAGTGAGACAAAACTGCATTCACTCCTGTATCACTGTGGATAAAGATTAAATTCTTAGATATTGTATATATATATGTGTATATAAGTGCATTCAGCCATCCTAATATTGGTTCTAGTTAAACTACTGATTATTCACATGGTCATCTTTTATAAAAATCCAAACTAAAGTGTAGACTCGATTCCATAACTTACCAAAATCTTAAGAATTGAAGAGAATTTTTATTCAGAAAACAGACTAACATCTCCCAATTAAAAAATTAATTTTAAATTCAATTAGTAAAAAGAAAATATATTTTCTTTAAATATATGGTTAAATATTTTATAAATTTCATATTTAATGTTAAATGTTTAATCATAACCATAAGTAAAATATAAAATCAATGCTTTAATATATTTGTTGTTTGAAATACTGTTTATTATTGAAAATTGATCCTGAATTTTCCAAAGAAGAATGATGAAATAAATCCAAATTATTAACAAAATATATCAATAGCTTGATTCTTAGTATCAATAGATTAAGTAAACATTTATGGTAAATTTATAGTAGAGAGTACTTATTCCTATTACTTCCATTACTGTTGGATCTGTAATGTATTCCCATTACTGTAAATCTTTACTTGGGAGAGTGATATAAAAATATTCTTTTTAAATCAAACATCAAGGATAAAGTTGATTCATTTTTACTGTAGAAAATACAACCTTTCATTGTAGATCTCTCAATAAGATTGAAATTTAAGCATTCAAGAAAATTTGCAATAATTTTGTAATATTTTATGTATTTCTACTATATATTATTTCACAATTCAACAATATAGTCATTGAGTTTTTTTAAAAGGAGTTCATAAAGATAAATTTTCAGGTAATGTAATGTTAATTTACACTTAGACTTTGTTTATAGTCTTGTTAAGAATGCTATCAAAAGGTATTTGATATATCATGAAGTGATATAGTGATACAAGTGTATATAACTAGGTTAATTTTAAACTTTGACCAGTTAGTATTTAACTTCAAAATCTGCTGAATTGTTCCACTTTAAATGCAATATCATTTATATTATGGAGAATATATAAATATAAATGTGCTGTACTTTATTAATTTCACAAGATTGTATTTGCAATTAAATTATCAAAAATAATATAACATAAATAATACACGATTTTTAACCACTCTGCAGTGATCAATGGATATACCTGTCAAGGGCAATCACATGGCACTGGAGAATAATGTCAATATCCGCAAAAAAATTTACATAAAAAGGAATTGTGACAATAAAGAAAGATTTTTCTTTACTAGATGTAACTGTTTAAAAAACTTTTTCCGAAATGGAAACAAGAAAAATTCTCCACTACATCATGATAGTGCCATATCTAACTAACCCTCTCTACAAAGGTTAATATATCACTATAAATACAGTATATCTTTATATTTTAGCACAATTTAAAATCATTTTTTGTAACTTTAACAATGAAACAATGCTAAATAAACTTGCTTCCTTTTGTAGACAAAACAATTACATAATCATCAAAGAATTTATGATCAGTGTTTTGCAAATAATTTATAAAGAGAATAACTGTTTGCATCATTTGCAAATTGCTTCATTAGTTAGTTGTCTAAATTGAAGGATGATCTTTTAAAATAGAATGAAACAATTATTAAAGTCTGCTTTTTGTTTATAAACTAAAAGAACTCTTAAATTATTACATGTAATTTATGTGGAAAAAAATACCCTTATATTCAATTTGAGTTATATTTTTTTGGCATTTTGAAGATACAAATAAATTAATTAAAGGTTTTAAATTAAAATTTCTGAAATTGTTTAATTTAGCATTCAAAAATTTATTTATATATATACAGTATATAAATTACTATATTTTGCTCTATAGTATAAATAGTTGTTGGATAATGAATGTTTCTGAAGTAACTTATTGATTATATTTTAATATAGCATACTTAACAGTATATTGACCGCTACATCATTGGTGCATATTATATATTTAGTAACGTTATACCAGTTTTTTTTTATCTGAATAATAATGTTACTCTGTTTTAAATTAAGATGTAATTAAGTAATTATTGTGGTTTTTGGCAGTAAAATTTTTATTATTTCAGTTTTGTAAGATTATTTTATTGTAAAATGATCATTTAAATTTTTTAACAAAGTAAAGTGTTTCTATTTAATAATTATTTTATTTATTTTGGTTGAATGAATGTTATGTTAAATTATTTTATCTTATTAATTATAAGACTCATTATAAAAGTAAATGATTATGTGATCATCATGTTTAAATTTAATAATTAGAAACCAAAATTAATTAATTTAAAATACCCTGAAAGAAGAGAGTGATTCAGAGCAGGACTCAAATGCAACAATATATGTAACTGCATGGTAAGCAGGAGTTGCAGGTTTGAGTACTGCTTCGAATCAATCTTTTTTTCAGAATATTTAAAATCAATTCTGATGTTTAAATTTAATAATTAGAAAAGATGGTCACTTAAATGTCTTAAATTATAAGTATTTTTACATTTAATTAACCAAAATGTAGCCCAGTAATGAATTTGGCTTGATTATTTACTCAGTAATGTGATTTTGGCTTGGTTTTGTATATGATTTATATTATATATTTGAGTGCAAAATATTGAAATTGTCTGTTTTTGGTAACTAAATACTTCAATAAACTTAATTGTTATGTAAATTTATTTTTGAGAAATCTATTAATGAAATTTTATAATTTCTTTAAACAGGAAATGAAAGCCATGTGTTACAGTGCTATAGAAAGAGCTCCTTCTCCTGAAGGTGGTTGTTACAATATATTTTTATAATATTTTACAACTGTCTACATTAACGTTGTTATAATGATAAGAATTATTTTAATCTCTGTTCCTTAAAATTTTTCAGTTGTAGAGCAGAGTGTTATAACTCGATATTTTGCAAGTTTCGAAGAGGAATTTTTCCATCACTGTGAAAAAGAATTAACAAAAATAAATACTTTTTATTCAGGTATATGCTTTAAAAAATTTAAAAATAACGTAATTATTTAAAAATTATTTTACTATATGTGTGCATAAAATACTCCTTTTTATCTTAAGTATTTCATAATCGTAAGTTTGTTGCTCTTATCTTTATTAGAAGTCACTAAATATAACATGAAAATGATCACAAATTTCATAAATCTTTTTTGCACTTGAATCATCTCCAGTTGGCAGATTTTGCGATATTCGAAACTCTCTCTCTTAATAATTGTCAAAATCTACTCTATCATAAACAAAGATGCCATTTTAAAATAAAATAATTTTTTCATGTATGTTCTTAAATAAAACAATTAGTCTTTAAAATCTCTATAGTAATCAACAGTAGAATATTTTTTAATACAGTATTAATTACTACTTATTAATACAGTATACATTTATATACAGTAACTGTTCTTAAATAACTTATTTTTTTTAATAGAAAATAATAAAATAAGATTATTAGAACTCGATAAGATCCCTTTTGAGGTTATTGCCTATAAGGTTGTGGCAGTAATCCATGAATATCTTCTGCCAAGGCATTGTATGACAATAATTTAGTATATATTTTTTTATATAACGCCACACAAAGAGATCTTTTTATAACTTCTGTATCAGCAAAATATCTAAGCTTAAATATAATTTTGATTAGATTATATAATATGAAAACAAGTTTCTAATTTTGATATTGCTTTTCAGAAAAAATGGCTGAGGCAACTCGTAAATTTGGAAATCTTAAAACTGAGCTAAATAATTACAATTGTAGGGTTCCAAATGCTAAAGGAAGTTGGAAACACTTTGAAGAAAAGAAGTAAGTTCATTAAAAAAAAGAATAGTTCTTTATGATATAAAATTTCAGCTTGACAAATTTGATAATGAAAAATATTTAGGTTATTTATCAGTAATTTTGAGTTAAATAACCTAATTCCTTTCTTGTTATCCAAATTTATTGATCTCTTTCGTTGATAAAAGTTCTTTGACAATCTAATCTTTAAATAATTATCAAAACACATTGAGATTATTCACTTATTCTGAATGAAGTATCTTCAGATTTTATTTATTACTATGATTTAATTAATGATTTTATTGAATACAATTGATGTCAATACAAAATTAATATTTTGGATTTAATTTATAAAAAAAAAAATAATCTAAGTAAAGCAGTTGAAAAATATATAATTTCAGTCATTGTTTGTACATTTTAAAAATTGATTAAATAAAAATATAAAGAAAGATTAGGAAAAAGTATTTTACTAACATTTAGATGATTTTTATTTATAAAGAATACTAATATGCTTTTTAAATTTATACAAATCAAAGTAATTCTAGAATATATTTTATTGTTAGATTTTTGCTAGAATATATTCTACTGGACAAAAATCTAGAATAAAATCATTTGGACTTTTGCTTTGTTTCCTAACAGAACATGTCCAAAGTTTCTTATCATTGTTTTTAAAAATAATTTGCGAAGTTGATAATCTATAATAGAAAGCAGGTTTGTGACATAATATTTTTTCAAATGTCAAAATATCTGTTTAACCATATTTTACACCAAGTTATAGGAAAAATTTACTATCACTAAATGGATAAACCAAAATAATTTAAGGCCTATCCATTAAGTAATATTAACTGCTTAAGATAACAATATGTATCATCCAGATGGATTTATAAAATATTTAATAGTGTAATATAATGTGTTGTGTTTATAAATTGTTTTTGTATTTTCTGTACAGTTTATTATTAAATAATTTTTACAAAAATTACTTGAATTTAAGTTGTGCTATTGTTACAAAGCCATGTACCACCTTAATTCTGGTTTGTTTATAAATTATTTAAACAATATTGTATTATCATCTTGTTTTATCTACTAAAATTTGTAAAATTTGTAAATTTTTTATCTTCTGAATTAATGTGTGATTTATTACTACTAAGTTGTTATTTTTTTATGATAAATGATAATCAAGAAACTTCACACACTCCTACAGACAGACAAAACTCAAGAATGTATCATTTCTCTATTTTTCTTATAGAATCTTGATGTTAAAGCAGTTCTATAAACAGGAAATGAATTTGATACTAGTTCCTTAATTAAATTATCAATTTGATAAGCTTTGAAAATATTAAATATTCAGAAAATTAATACAGTACAGTAATAAATTACCAGTTTATTTTAACTTTTTATAAAAATTTATTTTATTATTTTAACAATTTACTGCCTTCTTGCAATCTTATACAGCAATTTAAATTAAAAATAAACCACAGATATTGACTCTTATACCTAAATAAGCATACTATAATCCAAAATATATCTAAACATGGATAGAACTAGACTTCTTGGACCTGTAATTCTACAATTTTTTCAATTATTACTAAGTTGAATCCAGAAATAGGCAACAATGTCATTTTGTATCAAATTTAATTAAATTTAATTAAATTTGATTCACAATGACAGATTGCCTATTTCTAAAGTCAAATTATAGTAGTAATTGATTCAAAAAATTGCATAGTCAAATAAATTTGGTGCTTATCTTACTCTTGTTCTTGACTTTCAGAAATATTAAACTTTTTTTTTTAATTAAATAATGATTGTGTAATATTTATATAACATATTTTGTTCCAAAAGTAACTATTTTAAGCTTGACAATTAAATTTAGAGAAAAATAATTCAGTAAAGTAAACTGTCTTATTAAAATATAGAGATTATTTATTAAGTACTCAGTTTTTTCTTTTTTTCCACAAATTACAGCCTAATTCATATTCTAAATATATCAGTAAAAAAACTACAAACAAATCAAATTATGCTAGATTATTAATTAATTACATCTTTTTATCATAATTTCAAATATACATGATGTCCAGATTGAGACTGACACATTTTGAAAGGTTACAAGTAAAATTAGGTGAGAATTACAATAAAAATAAAGTGTGCAATTTAAAGACAAACTCACCAAGTTTCATTGCAAAAATCAGTGCAGTTCTGCCTTTACACCTTTTTTTACACAAAATTATAAGATTACATATTCCTCCTACATAGAGAATATCTAAATGATATTCAGTTTTTTGCCACATAACAGAAATATTGATAACATCCTGTACGTGCACATGAAGTTCATTGAGGTTATTAATTTTGATGCCAATAGTTAACCCTGTCCTTTACATATCTGCATAGGAAGAAGTATAGAGCATAATGTCAGGATTGCAGGTGTACTAATTACTCTGAGTACTTCAATTAATTCTAGGGAAAACTTACACAGTTGCTTGATATTCTTCAAGCAATGCATTAAATGCTTTTATCTTTATGCACTGAATTTTGGTAGCAATTTTTAAAATGTCAGTTTCACTCCATACATCCTGTATTGGATTCACTTAAAATTTTTGGTTAACAAATTCAATATATACAATTTTTAAAACTTCAAGATAAAACTACTTTAATTAGTTTCTATGTTAAATATATAATTCTGACATCTACATAATCATTTATATAAAATTTATAAATTAAAGAATCTAAGATTTATCATCATTTCATTACTTTACTTTGCAATTTATGAAATTATTAATAAATATCGTATATTTTTTTTAAACAATGAATTATATTGAGGAACTTCAGCATCACAAAATTTCTTTAAAAATACTAATTTAATAAAAAATAAAACTTAATTACTTATTTAAAAATTTCAATATTACAGTTTATAAATAATTATAGAAATGCTTAACTTTAATTCCACTGATAATATTTACTTTTGAAAAGCAAATAGTTGATACTGATAAGTGTAGTGCTATCTCAACTACTGTCAAAAATCTTAATTTATAGGCCTGAAAAACATGAGCAAGTCTGTATGAAACTATTTATTACTAATAAATGTAGGATTATCATTTGATTTTTGAATTTGCAAGAATATAATGTATTAATGTAAGATGCATAGGTTTTAGTATCTTCAAAAAACTATATCTTAAATCTGAAGTAACATATCTTAAACTGCACTAGAAGTTGCCAATTATCTTATTTTTCTGTCATTAATTCTATTGAATCATTTTAATGACTTTATTACCCCAATACTTGTAATAGCAAATATTAAAGATGTCAACTTAGCTCATTTTCATTACTCTATTACAGTAACAACATAAGTATTCAGATGAAAGTTGCAGAAAAAGTTGTCCAGCACTCTTTCAAGAAATTTTGAATTTCTGATGCTTTAAACGGCATTGAGTTGATTGTATGGGAGATGATGTGTGCATCGGATCCAGTGTTGATTTGAAAGAACCTAACATAGAATGAAGAGATTTCTGTCTTTAATACCACAAACTACAGTAATATATAATTTTACTGTAGAATAAATACTAAACAAATTTGTTACCAGGATCTGTTTAATTGACATAAATTTGTCACATCTATTTTTTTGAAAACAAAATCCATGGATGAGCATGTAGAAATTAAGGTGTGTCTTAGATTTCATGGCATCTTACATTTGAGTAAATATGGAGGTGAATGTTTCAACAGAGGGATTTATTTCATCTGAGGGTAAGAAACACGAACTGTATGAAGTTAGGAAAAGGGAAGACAGGAAAGGAAGAATGGGGACAGAAACAGATAGACATTATTTTTCTTGTCTTTTGTCCTTTCAAGTTCCATGTTTGTAACATTATGAATAAATATATAAAAGTAGCATACAATTCATGATGTAATCATTAGTGGAATGATATTATTACTTAAATTAATAGCATAAAAATAAAAATATACTCCATATTTGATTATTTCACTAAAATCAGTCTCATGTCAAATTCATGTAAATTGACACTGNAACAATTAATAATATTATTAATTGTTTTTTAATTAAAATTTCATTTTTATTCATGGTTATGTGCTTGCATTTTTTTAAAAAAAAGTCATTCATTTGATTACATGACATTTTTTATAAGTTATAAAATAAGTACATAATAATGAATGAGAAATCAAAAGAGTTTGGCTGTAATTTTTAAAATATACAATATTAAAAAAGTTTAGAAACTTATGGAATGTCATAATTAAGAATTCCAATATTCAATATAGAAATATAATATATTACTTTAAAGAACCCTATTTTTTGAAGATTTTCTAGATCATAAAACAGAATTATTTCAACCAAGCTGCATTAGGAGGAATTAGCATGATTAGTATTATATTCTGCTGCCTTTACTGCTATTCATATTATTTTTTGTAAAAATTATTCTCTTGACTTCAAACTCTGTTCTGAAAACATGATGATAATATTAAACAGTAATATTATCATCTTTTTAATCCTCAGTCCTTGAATCTTGACATCATGAACAATATATTTTCTATTACTGTTTGTTATAGCAAGCAGTAATGGAAAATATACTTTTTAATTTTATTATTTTCTTATACTCTATGTGAAATTTCTTTTCTCTTTCAGATAATCATTAAGAGAGTAATTTATATACAAGAATAAGATTTTTCTAAGATTTAAATCTCAGATAATATTTTTAGTACTATAATTTATTACAGACATTACAGTAATGTATGACAGTTTAAAAATTGTATATAAGAAGTTTTATTATAAACTTTTATGTTTTTTATTGTTTTTAGATCAACTCTTCGGATAAAAGGATTGAACAGAGAAGCCGACAAACAAGTTCGGACCCACACAAGAAAGATGCATGAATTAAAACTGGCTTTCAGTGAATTCTATCTCAGTCTTATTTTACTGCAGAATTATCAGAATTTGAATTTTACTGGTTTTCGTAAAATTTTGAAAAAGCACGATAAAGTATGAAATAAATTTTATATAGTTTATGAAATTTTTTGAATATTTTGATTAATTAGAACATTTTGCATTGGCCAGTTGTTGGGAACTGATGCTGGAGCAAAATGGAGGCAAGCTCATGTAGAAATTGCACCATTTTACGTGAACAAATTTATCGATAAACTTATTCAGGAAACCGAGGTATTTATTTTGAATACCTATTTTATTATTATAATAATTTTGTTAATTGTATTCATTTTCTCCATTAGAGTCTTGTGACAACTGATTTAGAGGGAGGTGATCGTCAAAGAGCAATGAAGAGGTTAAGAGTTCCTCCATTAAATGATAAAGTAATTATTTAAATATTTTACTTCAAAAATTAATATGGCAGGAATTTATACTTAATCTAATTTTAATTCATAGCAATCTCCTTGGACAACGTTTAAAGTTGGTCTCTTTTCTGGTGCCTTTATTGTGTTAGTTGTAGCTGTTATTTTATCAGGTATGTATTTTTTTATATAAAATACTTTAAAATTGATTTTTGTATTGAAACTGTTTTATTTAATAGCTACTTTTAGCAAAGCCAGAGACGATTGGCGAATTGTCTTCCGTTTATATCGAGGTACATTGCTTATCATTCTGTTCATGTTCCTGATCGGAATAAATGTGTATGGTTGGCGTACGTCTGGCGTAAATCATGTACTTATTTTTGAATTGGATCCTCGAAATCATCTTTCTGAACAACATCTTATGGAAATGGCAGCAATATTTGGTGTGATGTGGGCTTTAAGTGTTCTTGCATTTTTGTATAGTAATCATCTTTCCATTCTTGCATATGCTAATCCCTTAATATTAGTTGTTGTGATGCTAGTGTTTTTATTTAATCCAACAAGAACGATGAGATATCAAGCACGATTCTGGCTTCTGAAAGTTTTGGTGAGTGAATTCAAAGAAAACTATATTTAAAATTACTTATAAGAATTCTTATTTCACTTTGTTTTATTCTAGGGAAAAGTAATCGCAGCTCCTTTTTTTCATGTCGGATTTGCTGACTTTTGGTTAGCTGATCAACTGAATAGTCTTGTTCCTGTATTAGTTGATTTTGAATATTTTCTATGTTTTTACATTACTGGTATTGATTGGTCTGAGAACAATGGTAAGAAAATTTATAAATTTTCAAAAGCATTATTTATCAAGTTAATTGTTTTCAACAGAACAATTGCACATTTTCCTTATATTTATTTACAAAAACAATCTACTCTGAATTAAGTCTTGTATTCAATATGACATTTGTTAATCAATAAAATCTGTAATTTATTAATCACTGGAATGTTTTTTGGAAATAAAATTATAAATATTGAACATGGAGAAAGATCTACTTCATAAGTCAACATCTTATCAGCTAAGGGGTTAAGATATTAAGTATAAAATGTATGCTCATTAGATTGAAAATTGATCTATTTTTCATAAAGTTTTAGAGTTTGTTTACTGAATTAGCATACTCTACTTCATGCATTCATTCATCTCTCAAATAACTTAACTATAACTTATTTTCAGGTTTTCAGTTGCCTGAAAACAATTTTTTATACTTTAAAAATGATAAAACATTTTAAGTAATTATACATTATCATTTTAACACTTGAAAATTTTCAATTATCTTTATAACTTATTTTTAAAATATTTAAATTTTATAGCAGCAAATTAAACAAAAATAATTAGATTTTCATACTGAATAGTAATTTTAAGTCAGAGAAAAAATTTATCAAATATTTAATATAAATATTAATTAAATTAGAAAGTTTAACCTTGAAAAATAAGATTTTTGTTATCTTAATCCTTTAAAAAATGTTAATATTCAAAACAATCTTAAAAATATATTGATTATTCTTTGTAAAATTGATTTGTCTCCATTTATTTATCATTAATTACATTGCAATGTTGCACGTATGTTACTTTTCTAACCTAGGTAACAATACTGTGTGTATTTTTCTTATGATAAAGATTTTTTTTATTTTGTTAATATTATAGAATAATTATTTAAAACTTGATGATATTCTATATAATTTAAATTACAGTAGGCTCTATGTTTTAGATTCCGAAAAGTGTGTTAAAGAACAAGTTGGTATGATTTTACGACCAGTTGTTGCTTGTTTACCGGCATGGTTTAGATTTGCTCAGTGTCTCAGACGTTATCGAGATACAAAAGAAGGGTTTCCTCATCTGGTGAATGCAGGAAAATATTCAACTACTTTTTTTGTTGTCATTTTTTCAACATTATTTAATACATTCAAAGGTATGTAACTATCATAGAATAAAATTCAATGATCATATTATTATATTTTGTATTAAAATTATAATAATAATTTATTATTATTTTCAGATGATTATGAAGAATCAGAATACAATCCATATTTTTTCCTTTGGATTATATTTGCTTTAATTAGTTCATGTTATACTTACGTCTGGGATATTAAAATGGATTGGGGCTTATTCGAGTGCTTCTCTGGTGATAATAAGTTCTTAAGAGAAGAAATAGTGTATTCGTCTCCGGTATGTAAAATTTTTAATATACAGGTATCTGCCACTTAATGATGGATGCATGTATGACAAGATTCCATAAGATTATAATAGAGATGAAAACTTCAAAGTCATTTGTACCTTTTCTATGTTTGATAAGTGTTTATATATCTAAACATCTATTTTCTTACTTATAGCATATATACATGGTATGTCAAAAAGTAAAGATGCAACAGCTAGTATTCATTCAAAACAATTTCATTTAACCAAACAACCACTATACCTTATTTACTGGTACATGCATTATTTTTCTACATAATTGCTATCATCATTTAAACACTTGTTAAGTCTGGATACTGGCTTCTGTATCTTGGAGTCATAGAATTCTACTACTTTCTGCTGGAACCATATTTCAACTTCATTTTTGATCTCATCACCATCATGGAAGTGTTGATCTGCAAGATGATTTTTTAGGTTTTTAGCTAAAGATAAAAACAACAAGCAACACCACTTACTAAAAATAAACAAAAATATAAAAACTATCTATTGGCATTACTGGTAAATACATTTAATTAATGAGTATGAGCACTTTTGACAGTATATAACAATCTTCTTCAGGTAATATGGCAGATGGAACATTATAAATCTAGAGATAGAACACATTTTCAAATTGATCTTCAAACAAGAAGAAACAAGTGGAAGTCGCTGGGGGCAAGATCTGCGCTATATGGTGGATGATCGAAAATTTTCCACTTGAATTATTTGAGAAGCATTTTGGTGACAATTGCTGTGTGAGCCTGAGTGTTGTCATGAAGCAGGCTGACACCAGTTGTCAACATTTTCCTCTGTTTGTTCTGAATGGTCCGTTGAAGGCATTGCAAGGTTTGGCAATATGCAGCAACATTGTGGTGCAGGGAGACATGAAGTCAATCAGAAGAATGTCTTTTCTGTCCCAGAAAACAAAAGCCAGGTTTTTTTGCTGAAATTGAAGTTTTGAATTTCTTGTGTTTTGGGGAATGTATATGGTGCCATTACAGTGATTGTAGTTTGAATTCAGAAGTATGGTGATAAATCCAAGCTTCATCACCTGTCATAATGTGGTTGAGAAACTCATCTCCTGCATGTGCATAGTGTGTGAGGAAGTAGAGTGCAAGCCCATCCATTTCTTGTGTTTGTCCATTAATATTTTGGTACTCAGTGTGCACACAATTTCATGTACCCTAATGAGTCACAGCTTCATGAAGCCTGGACTTAGACTTCCAGAATGATTTAGTGTAATTCTCTTATTGTGAGATACTGATTTGCACAAATTGCTTCTTCAGGTCTTTTAATAAGTTCATCAGAGATCACAGATTGCTTACCACTCCTGTGTTCATCATGAACATCAGTCCTGCTTCCAGAGAATGCACGGCACTACTTTCTTACATTTTGTCAATTCATAATGTTCCCATAAACAGAAACAATTTGAATATCTGGTAGGTGCTCACCTTTTGTATTAAGAAAACATAGGACAAAGTGCACTTTACATTTGGTAGGATTCTGAATCAGCACAGCCATTGTAAATATATGCTACTCAAACCAGACTCAGCATAGCAATGACAAATGACCACAAAAAGACCATAAAAGATTTGAGGTTAAATCAACTGCTGTCAACATATGCATTAAAACATTAGCTTTCTACTTACATGCAATGTATCTTTACTTTTGGACATGCCTTGTATTTAGATTTGTCTAAATATACATTGATGCTTGCTTGGTGATGTATTTCTTAGAATATATCCCCATCATTAAATGGTACATACTTATAATTCATATATGTATACAGATCATTTCATATATCTTGGCTGGGCAATGCACATTACTTGGTTTTGAAAATTTTGAGCTTCTTTTTTGGTAATGCATGATGATTTGTCACAATTTCCAAATAATCTCTTCCCTTCACTAGGTAAAGAGATTGTTTCACAAATTTTGGTAGACTGTAAAAACATGCAGTAGCAGGGATCAAACTGTGTGCATTTTTTATTTTACATTGAAAATATATTCTATTTTTAATGATGTACATAAATTAAGACATATATTTTTTTAAATTATTATTTCAAAGATTATTAACAAATACTAAATATTTGTTAACTCTTTGATATTGATCATTTCTTTTATGCAAATTCACATGCTTATATAACTTATCAATTGTTAAAGAATGATATATTAATTTTCAGGGTTATTATTACTTTGCTGTAATTGAAGATTTTGTGTTAAGATTTGGCTGGACCTTATCAGTTTCACTAACAGAAATGGGTGTTATTCACACTGATCTGATGGTATCTATTTTAGCTCCTCTTGAAGTATTTAGGTAGGTTTTAATTATTATATTAAGAATCTTAATATAAAAATTTTGCTATGTTATTCATATAGATTTCTTTAAATATTACAAGAACATTGTAATTATCAAAAATTTTCAAAAAAATTTATTTTAATAAAAATTTTATTTCTGCTAAGATGAATGCATTAATAATTGCATAACACAAAGTTATGTAATTATCAAAACAGTTTTTAATTATAGAAATCCAAATTTTGTATTTGTCAAAGTTTTAGAATTTTTTTTAACTTGTCATTAATCTAAATTGAAAGATAATTTTATTATTAGCTTTTTTATTATTTTGTTAATTTAAATTTATTGTAATAAAAAATTACATAAATTATTTATAACTTTTGATTACAATATTTATTTTTTTAATTAAATTCTCAGCTTTTATGAAACAGTTTTCTAAGAAATTACTTACTTTCTTATTAGTTTTCTGCATTCATATAAATTGTTCTTAAACTGTGTATTTACAAAGCCAAAACCCAATAAACATTGATACGTTTAACCTTAGAAGTTATTTAGTTAAAATTTTGGCATACTTGTATTAAAAATAAACTGCAGAATTAACAAATTTTATTTTGTACTATAATATATTTATACCCCTTTAAAGGGGTATAAATATATTATAGTACAAAAAGGGGTATAAATGTATTATAGGTACAGGAAAGAAATCTACGTCTGAAGAATATTTACAATGTTTTAAGATTTTTCTGTATTTTTTTTTTTCTTTGAGTTGTATCATTCTTATATTTGTCACACTGAGTATCAGAGCAAATTTTTGAATATCATTTATATTTATATCATTGAAGAGAAACTGATTAACATTCAATTAAAAACATTCATACAGTTGTATTTATATGAAAGTAATTTTAATTTAATTAATTTCTTAGTTTATAATAAAATTTGTTTGTATTAATCATGTAAGAAATAAATAACCTTAAAACTATCAATATTAACATATATTATTAACATGTGTGAAAGAGAAGTAAATTTACTAATTTTTTTTTTAAGGAGATTTGTTTGGAACTTTTTCCGTTTGGAAAACGAACACCTTAACAATTGTGGAAAATTCCGTGCCGTTAGAGATATATCAGTAGCTCCCATTGATTCAAATGATCAAGCTCTTATAATTAAGATGATGGATGAAGAAAATGGAGTTGTAAATAGGAAAAGAAAAGATAAAAAGAAACTAATGAAGTAAATATATATTTATTATTATATTATTATTTACTATATATATATTATATTTTATTAGTAGTTACATTTAATTATTATAAAACTAAACTTGTCAATACATTTTTATTTAACATTAACTTTTAATTTCCCAGCTCTGTTATATATAAGTTATAACAGAGGAAAAAAATGACAATTGGTCAAACAATGAGCCTGCAAGATTTTTACATTTTTGGAGTCTGGATCTTGAAACGTTGAGAATTGCAAAAAAAGTTTGGAGTTGTATGTGTGTGTATTAGGGGGATTGATGCTGTTAAATTTTGGTGGTTAAAGGTTGACGAGGTGGGGAGATATAGGAAGGTTGTGTGTTATATCTCAAGTAGGGTCAGACTTAATATCAATTTTACTGGTTATTAGTATTTACCATTTTTTATAAAATCCATCCAAACAAAAACATTTAAATTCTTAATCCTTTAATGTATATCATGTAAGAATGTAATTAATTTGACAATTAAGATGTAAATTAATTTTTGATCCAAAAGTATCTATTGATTATTTATACTGAAATAAAAACTTCACACTACATTAACAAAGTTGATTTAGTTATTAAATTTTTAATTTTAAAAGGCTAATTACAGTAATTAAATGAAATTAATTTATCACATGTTTTTACTCTCTAAGTGCCTTGTGGGCACTAAGAGGGCAAACAAATAATGGGCTCGGCCAGGCCCACAACAATGGGACAGCGAAGTGGTGAGGGATGGGGTCACAACATAACTGGACGAACCAACCTTCAAAAAATTCTGGAGTTTTTTCAACTCATCTAGATTTGATCTCAGGCCTCTCAGAGCAGTAGGCCTTAACTGCTCAAACATCTGGCTATCCATATACAATTCAATAAAAATTACATTTTAAATTAATATTTTCATAAACATGTAATTCGTTTTTCAAATGAATATTATAACTAGATTATAAGTTATAATTTTAAAAATTTGTTATTTACTACAGAGAATTTTTTTTTACTCTTTTCTAATCCTGTTATATTTGCATTTTAAATTCATTGAGTTTGATTAATTAAAATTTGATCATATTTTAAAGATTTAATTTGTTTTGAAGCAAGAGGAAAGAATCCATTTCATATATTTTGAATACTTATAAATGGTAAATCAAAAAATATATTACTCATATTCAGATTCAATTTTAATTAATGATTTCTCTCAAAAAATTACAAAACTAAATATCTAAATAAAAATTTCTCTTTAAATTTATAAAAATTCATAAAATTTTTGATTGAAAGATATCAGTTATTTAATTTTAGCTGTATATTAACTTTCATAAAGTGCTAATAACTATAGATAGAGATGGATCCTAAGGTTATCATCTGTAGATCCTTATGGATAAGGGAATCTATGGATGAGACCATTAAGATGAAGGTCTACTCCACATAAAGACTGTTTCTGAAGTGTGTAAAGGTCAAAGTGAGAAGAGACTTTTCTATTCTTTTTAGTGTTTGTTCTATTTTTATGAACTTTAAGCCAATAACTATACTTGTAGACTTGCAAAATAGACACTGTAGGAAGATGAAAAAAATGTATTTATAATAAAAAAAATCTCCTTTTTAATCGGAATGCAATTTGTCTGTCCATTTGTCTTTCTTTAATCTCGAACAGTTATATAGATGAAATCCGAGATCAGATATGGAAAGCTTAGGGGCAGGAGGCTTCAATTAATTGTATATGAACTTCCGATGCAAACCAGAACTCAGGTTATTTCAATTCAAAAATTTTTCCCTTAAGGAGGTAGATGATGGCATGACTGTTACTATGATGGACTGTACAAGGGCAAGATACTACTAATTTGAGTTGGAAAGCATATATTTTAAAATAAATAAATTTAAAAAATATGATTGTAACAATTCCAGGCTGCAATTTTTAATGTCATATTAAATAATTGCTCATTGTATTTGTATTATTTAATGATTTACCAAGTTACAATTTTTAATTAATTTTTTATTTTCTTATAATTTTTTCATAGGAGGAAGAAGTCATCCGATGCTAAAGTCTTACTTCTTGAAAGCACCGGAAACGATACAGATCATGAATTTTAAATATTCCCCAAAATTTTCCAGTTTTTGTAAGAGGAAAAAAAAATTTTGTTGTACCTGCATTAGTATGTAACTTTTTGTAGTTTGTTAAAATTATGTGATTGAAGATATATAAATNTTAAAGTTGGTCTCTTTTCTGGTGCCTTTATTGTGTTAGTTGTAGCTGTTATTTTATCAGGTATGTATTTTTTTATATAAAATACTTTAAAATTGATTTTTGTATTGAAACTGTTTTATTTAATAGCTACTTTTAGCAAAGCCAGAGACGATTGGCGAATTGTCTTCCGTTTATATCGAGGTACATTGCTTATCATTCTGTTCATGTTCCTGATCGGAATAAATGTGTATGGTTGGCGTACGTCTGGCGTAAATCATGTACTTATTTTTGAATTGGATCCTCGAAATCATCTTTCTGAACAACATCTTATGGAAATGGCAGCAATATTTGGTGTGATGTGGGCTTTAAGTGTTCTTGCATTTTTGTATAGTAATCATCTTTCCATTCTTGCATATGCTAATCCCTTAATATTAGTTGTTGTGATGCTAGTGTTTTTATTTAATCCAACAAGAACGATGAGATATCAAGCACGATTCTGGCTTCTGAAAGTTTTGGTGAGTGAATTCAAAGAAAACTATATTTAAAATTACTTATAAGAATTCTTATTTCACTTTGTTTTATTCTAGGGAAAAGTAATCGCAGCTCCTTTTTTTCATGTCGGATTTGCTGACTTTTGGTTAGCTGATCAACTGAATAGTCTTGTTCCTGTATTAGTTGATTTTGAATATTTTCTATGTTTTTACATTACTGGTATTGATTGGTCTGAGAACAATGGTAAGAAAATTTATAAATTTTCAAATGCATTATTTATCAAGTTAATTGTTTTCAACAGAACAATTGCACATTTTCCTTATATTTATTTACAAAAACAATCTACTCTGAATTAAGTCTTGTATTCAATATGACATTTGTTAATCAATAAAATCTGTAATTTATTAATCACTGGAATGTTTTTTGGAAATAAAATTATAAATATTGAACATGGAGAAAGATCTACTTCATAAGTCAACATCTTATCAGCTAAGGGGTTAAGATATTAAGTATAAAATGTATGCTCATTAGATTGAAAATTGATCTATTTTTCATAAAGTTTTAGAGTTTGTTTACTGAATTAGCATACTCTACTTCATGCATTCATTCATCTCTCAAATAACTTAACTATAACTTATTTTCAGGTTTTCAGTTGCCTGAAAACAATTTTTTATACTTTAAAAATGATAAAACATTTTAAGTAATTATACATTATCATTTTAACACTTGAAAATTTTCAATTATCTTTATAACTTATTTTTAAAATATTTAAATTTTATAGCAGCAAATTAAACAAAAATAATTAGATTTTCATACTGAATAGTAATTTTAAGTCAGAGAAAAAATTTATCAAATATTTAATATAAATATTAATTAAATTAGAAAGTTTAACCTTGAAAAATAAGATTTTTGTTATCTTAATCCTTTAAAAAATGTTAATATTCAAAACAATCTTAAAAATATATTGATTATTCTTTGTAAAATTGATTTGTCTCCATTTATTTATCATTAATTACATTGCAATGTTGCACGTATGTTACTTTTCTAACCTAGGTAACAATACTGTGTGTATTTTTCTTATGATAAAGATTTTTTTTATTTTGTTAATATTATAGAATAATTATTTAAAACTTGATGATATTCTATATAATTTAAATTACAGTAGGCTCTATGTTTTAGATTCCGAAAAGTGTGTTAAAGAACAAGTTGGTATGATTTTACGACCAGTTGTTGCTTGTTTACCGGCATGGTTTAGATTTGCTCAGTGTCTCAGACGTTATCGAGATACAAAAGAAGGGTTTCCTCATCTGGTGAATGCAGGAAAATATTCAACTACTTTTTTTGTTGTCATTTTTTCAACATTATTTAATACATTCAAAGGTATGTAACTATCATAGAATAAAATTCAATGATCATATTATTATATTTTGTATTAAAATTATAATAATAATTTATTATTATTTTCAGATGATTATGAAGAATCAGAATACAATCCATATTTTTTCCTTTGGATTATATTTGCTTTAATTAGTTCATGTTATACTTACGTCTGGGATATTAAAATGGATTGGGGCTTATTCGAGTGCTTCTCTGGTGATAATAAGTTCTTAAGAGAAGAAATAGTGTATTCGTCTCCGGTATGTAAAATTTTTAATATACAGGTATCTGCCACTTAATGATGGATGCATGTATGACAAGATTCCATAAGATTATAATAGAGATGAAAACTTCAAAGTCATTTGTACCTTTTCTATGTTTGATAAGTGTTTATATATCTAAACATCTATTTTCTTACTTATAGCATATATACATGGTATGTCAAAAAGTAAAGATGCAACAGCTAGTATTCATTCAAAACAATTTCATTTAACCAAACAACCACTATACCTTATTTACTGGTACATGCATTATTTTTCTACATAATTGCTATCATCATTTAAACACTTGTTAAGTCTGGATACTGGCTTCTGTATCTTGGAGTCATAGAATTCTACTACTTTCTGCTGGAACCATATTTCAACTTCATTTTTGATCTCATCACCATCATGGAAGTGTTGATCTGCAAGATGATTTTTTAGGTTTTTAGCTAAAGATAAAAACAACAAGCAACACCACTTACTAAAAATAAACAAAAATATAAAAACTATCTATTGGCATTACTGGTAAATACATTTAATTAATGAGTATGAGCACTTTTGACAGTATATAACAATCTTCTTCAGGTAATATGGCAGATGGAACATTATAAATCTAGAGATAGAACACATTTTCAAATTGATCTTCAAACAAGAAGAAACAAGTGGAAGTCGCTGGGGGCAAGATCTGCGCTATATGGTGGATGATCGAAAATTTTCCACTTGAATTATTTGAGAAGCATTTTGGTGACAATTGCTGTGTGAGCCTGAGTGTTGTCATGAAGCAGGCTGACACCAGTTGTCAACATTTTCCTCTGTTTGTTCTGAATGGTCCGTTGAAGGCATTGCAAGGTTTGGCAATATGCAGCAACATTGTGGTGCAGGGAGACATGAAGTCAATCAGAAGAATGTCTTTTCTGTCCCAGAAAACAAAAGCCAGGTTTTTTTGCTGAAATTGAAGTTTTGAATTTCTTGTGTTTTGGGGAATGTATATGGTGCCATTACAGTGATTGTAGTTTGAATTCAGAAGTATGGTGATAAATCCAAGCTTCATCACCTGTCATAATGTGGTTGAGAAACTCATCTCCTGCATGTGCATAGTGTGTGAGGAAGTAGAGTGCAAGCCCATCCATTTCTTGTGTTTGTCCATTAATATTTTGGTACTCAGTGTGCACACAATTTCATGTACCCTAATGAGTCACAGCTTCATGAAGCCTGGACTTAGACTTCCAGAATGATTTAGTGTAATTCTCTTATTGTGAGATACTGATTTGCACAAATTGCTTCTTCAGGTCTTTTAATAAGTTCATCAGAGATCACAGATTGCTTACCACTCCTGTGTTCATCATGAACATCAGTCCTGCTTCCAGAGAATGCACGGCACTACTTTCTTACATTTTGTCAATTCATAATGTTCCCATAAACAGAAACAATTTGAATATCTGGTAGGTGCTCACCTTTTGTATTAAGAAAACATAGGACAAAGTGCACTTTACATTTGGTAGGATTCTGAATCAGCACAGCCATTGTAAATATATGCTACTCAAACCAGACTCAGCATAGCAATGACAAATGACCACAAAAAGACCATAAAAGATTTGAGGTTAAATCAACTGCTGTCAACATATGCATTAAAACATTAGCTTTCTACTTACATGCAATGTATCTTTACTTTTGGACATGCCTTGTATTTAGATTTGTCTAAATATACATTGATGCTTGCTTGGTGATGTATTTCTTAGAATATATCCCCATCATTAAATGGTACATACTTATAATTCATATATGTATACAGATCATTTCATATATCTTGGCTGGGCAATGCACATTACTTGGTTTTGAAAATTTTGAGCTTCTTTTTTGGTAATGCATGATGATTTGTCACAATTTCCAAATAATCTCTTCCCTTCACTAGGTAAAGAGATTGTTTCACAAATTTTGGTAGACTGTAAAAACATGCAGTAGCAGGGATCAAACTGTGTGCATTTTTTATTTTACATTGAAAATATATTCTATTTTTAATGATGTACATAAATTAAGACATATATTTTTTTAAATTATTATTTCAAAGATTATTAACAAATACTAAATATTTGTTAACTCTTTGATATTGATCATTTCTTTTATGCAAATTCACATGCTTATATAACTTATCAATTGTTAAAGAATGATATATTAATTTTCAGGGTTATTATTACTTTGCTGTAATTGAAGATTTTGTGTTAAGATTTGGCTGGACCTTATCAGTTTCACTAACAGAAATGGGTGTTATTCACACTGATCTGATGGTATCTATTTTAGCTCCTCTTGAAGTATTTAGGTAGGTTTTAATTATTATATTAAGAATCTTAATATAAAAATTTTGCTATGTTATTCATATAGATTTCTTTAAATATTACAAGAACATTGTAATTATCAAAAATTTTCAAAAAAATTTATTTTAATAAAAATTTTATTTCTGCTAAGATGAATGCATTAATAATTGCATAACACAAAGTTATGTAATTATCAAAACAGTTTTTAATTATAGAAATCCAAATTTTGTATTTGTCAAAGTTTTAGAATTTTTTTTAACTTGTCATTAATCTAAATTGAAAGATAATTTTATTATTAGCTTTTTTATTATTTTGTTAATTTAAATTTATTGTAATAAAAAATTACATAAATTATTTATAACTTTTGATTACAATATTTATTTTTTTAATTAAATTCTCAGCTTTTATGAAACAGTTTTCTAAGAAATTACTTACTTTCTTATTAGTTTTCTGCATTCATATAAATTGTTCTTAAACTGTGTATTTACAAAGCCAAAACCCAATAAACATTGATACGTTTAACCTTAGAAGTTATTTAGTTAAAATTTTGGCATACTTGTATTAAAAATAAACTGCAGAATTAACAAATTTTATTTTGTACTATAATATATTTATACCCCTTTAAAGGGGTATAAATATATTATAGTACAAAAAGGGGTATAAATGTATTATAGGTACAGGAAAGAAATCTACGTCTGAAGAATATTTACAATGTTTTAAGATTTTTCTGTATTTTTTTTTTTCTTTGAGTTGTATCATTCTTATATTTGTCACACTGAGTATCAGAGCAAATTTTTGAATATCATTTATATTTATATCATTGAAGAGAAACTGATTAACATTCAATTAAAAACATTCATACAGTTGTATTTATATGAAAGTAATTTTAATTTAATTAATTTCTTAGTTTATAATAAAATTTGTTTGTATTAATCATGTAAGAAATAAATAACCTTAAAACTATCAATATTAACATATATTATTAACATGTGTGAAAGAGAAGTAAATTTACTAATTTTTTTTTTAAGGAGATTTGTTTGGAACTTTTTCCGTTTGGAAAACGAACACCTTAACAATTGTGGAAAATTCCGTGCCGTTAGAGATATATCAGTAGCTCCCATTGATTCAAATGATCAAGCTCTTATAATTAAGATGATGGATGAAGAAAATGGAGTTGTAAATAGGAAAAGAAAAGATAAAAAGAAACTAATGAAGTAAATATATATTTATTATTATATTATTATTTACTATATATATATTATATTTTATTAGTAGTTACATTTAATTATTATAAAACTAAACTTGTCAATACATTTTTATTTAACATTAACTTTTAATTTCCCAGCTCTGTTATATATAAGTTATAACAGAGGAAAAAAATGACAATTGGTCAAACAATGAGCCTGCAAGATTTTTACATTTTTGGAGTCTGGATCTTGAAACGTTGAGAATTGCAAAAAAAGTTTGGAGTTGTATGTGTGTGTATTAGGGGGATTGATGCTGTTAAATTTTGGTGGTTAAAGGTTGACGAGGTGGGGAGATATAGGAAGGTTGTGTGTTATATCTCAAGTAGGGTCAGACTTAATATCAATTTTACTGGTTATTAGTATTTACCATTTTTTATAAAATCCATCCAAACAAAAACATTTAAATTCTTAATCCTTTAATGTATATCATGTAAGAATGTAATTAATTTGACAATTAAGATGTAAATTAATTTTTGATCCAAAAGTATCTATTGATTATTTATACTGAAATAAAAACTTCACACTACATTAACAAAGTTGATTTAGTTATTAAATTTTTAATTTTAAAAGGCTAATTACAGTAATTAAATGAAATTAATTTATCACATGTTTTTACTCTCTAAGTGCCTTGTGGGCACTAAGAGGGCAAACAAATAATGGGCTCGGCCAGGCCCACAACAATGGGACAGCGAAGTGGTGAGGGATGGGGTCACAACATAACTGGACGAACCAACCTTCAAAAAATTCTGGAGTTTTTTCAACTCATCTAGATTTGATCTCAGGCCTCTCAGAGCAGTAGGCCTTAACTGCTCAAACATCTGGCTATCCATATACAATTCAATAAAAATTACATTTTAAATTAATATTTTCATAAACATGTAATTCGTTTTTCAAATGAATATTATAACTAGATTATAAGTTATAATTTTAAAAATTTGTTATTTACTACAGAGAATTTTTTTTTACTCTTTTCTAATCCTGTTATATTTGCATTTTAAATTCATTGAGTTTGATTAATTAAAATTTGATCATATTTTAAAGATTTAATTTGTTTTGAAGCAAGAGGAAAGAATCCATTTCATATATTTTGAATACTTATAAATGGTAAATCAAAAAATATATTACTCATATTCAGATTCAATTTTAATTAATGATTTCTCTCAAAAAATTACAAAACTAAATATCTAAATAAAAATTTCTCTTTAAATTTATAAAAATTCATAAAATTTTTGATTGAAAGATATCAGTTATTTAATTTTAGCTGTATATTAACTTTCATAAAGTGCTAATAACTATAGATAGAGATGGATCCTAAGGTTATCATCTGTAGATCCTTATGGATAAGGGAATCTATGGATGAGACCATTAAGATGAAGGTCTACTCCACATAAAGACTGTTTCTGAAGTGTGTAAAGGTCAAAGTGAGAAGAGACTTTTCTATTCTTTTTAGTGTTTGTTCTATTTTTATGAACTTTAAGCCAATAACTATACTTGTAGACTTGCAAAATAGACACTGTAGGAAGATGAAAAAAATGTATTTATAATAAAAAAAATCTCCTTTTTAATCGGAATGCAATTTGTCTGTCCATTTGTCTTTCTTTAATCTCGAACAGTTATATAGATGAAATCCGAGATCAGATATGGAAAGCTTAGGGGCAGGAGGCTTCAATTAATTGTATATGAACTTCCGATGCAAACCAGAACTCAGGTTATTTCAATTCAAAAATTTTTCCCTTAAGGAGGTAGATGATGGCATGACTGTTACTATGATGGACTGTACAAGGGCAAGATACTACTAATTTGAGTTGGAAAGCATATATTTTAAAATAAATAAATTTAAAAAATATGATTGTAACAATTCCAGGCTGCAATTTTTAATGTCATATTAAATAATTGCTCATTGTATTTGTATTATTTAATGATTTACCAAGTTACAATTTTTAATTAATTTTTTATTTTCTTATAATTTTTTCATAGGAGGAAGAAGTCATCCGATGCTAAAGTCTTACTTCTTGAAAGCACCGGAAACGATACAGATCATGAATTTTAAATATTCCCCAAAATTTTCCAGTTTTTGTAAGAGGAAAAAAAAATTTTGTTGTACCTGCATTAGTATGTAACTTTTTGTAGTTTGTTAAAATTATGTGATTGAAGATATATAAATTTATTTTCTTAAAAAAATCTGAGAGATATTTTCTAATATAGGAAATACAGATGTATATTTAAAAAGAATAGAATATCATTTATTTAAAGACATCCTCTTCTATATATATATGTATTATATTTAAATTATTTTAAAGGTTATATATTTGATTATGTTAATCTTATGTATAAAGTTTTATAAATTATGATAATTCCAGATGTATATTTTGATATACTATATACCAAGAATTATACACAGATGTTATTTAATTAGACAAGCAAGCTATTATTTTTAAACAAACCAAAGAACTTCATATTTAATATATTAATTTGTCATTTTTTCAGAAAAAAGAAAAAAAAAATTGTACATTTTAAATGTTTTTCTTTGCATTTAGTTTCATCTCTCGCATCAAAAAAATTTAAACCAACGAGATTTGTACAGACATAAAATATCAAATTATTGTGACACATTTTTATGCCATTAAAGCAATCTTGTCATTGAATGTTCATATCATTATTTTATAAAATAATGGAATTAATCCAGAATTTTGTAAAAACAAACAAACTTTGCTATGTTATAACTTGTAGTGAAAAGAAAAATATTAATAAAAACTTTTGATTATATTATAAAAATTTTTATAAAATGGTAATCAATGATATATGATTTTTTTAGTAATGTAATAATCATTTTGTATTATAAAATCTATTTAACATTAATATTTATCATGAGCATCATTTGTTATACTTGATATAAAATAAATGAGATTTCCATAGTTCAAACAGTAGTATTATTTATAATATCAATAACTTTAACACACAAGCTTTTCTATGGAGTAATGTTTAGTACTATTATGGAGAATCTTGCAGGTTTTAGTTAAGATTTGTTTCTCTATTTCACTAGTGTAATTGGAGGACAGTCGGGCTAATGTTGGTCAGACATTTTGATATTCTTTTAAAATGCTTTCATCCATTTTTAACCATACTATTCAATATGCATTGCCACAATTCTATAAAATAACGTTAACAATACCGTAATTATTATAATCATGGGTTGGAACCAGATTTATAAGACACCTGAAGAGAGGGGGAAATGACACATTTGAGTGTACCCTACTTACCTGTAAACAGAATGGTGTACATTGGAATTATTCAGAGTAGATGACATTGATTAAAATTGTGTCAATCATTTTGCAAAGTTGAGCAGCATTGTTGGTTGAAAATTGAAGCTGGTAAAGAGAGTGCTGTCAGGGACTTGTATTGGAATGTGGTGGAATGTCTATGACAAACATTGGTCTTGACCATCCTCAGTTGTTGGAAGAACAAGTGCACACTGGCTTCCTTGATCAATCATGGAAAAACAAACATAAATTTTGTGGATCATTTGTCCACTCCCCAATTTGCATTTGAAGATGGAGATTGGAAACAATTTTTTCAGTTTTAGCCTTACTTATTATTGAACTCAAAAAATATTAATTGTACTTGTTCATTAAAATTCATAGTAATAGAACACTCCAAATAAAAAAAAAATGGTAACTTTATAATTTGTGCTGTTTACATATCTCAAGAACACAACAAAGCCATATGGCAGAGTTGACCTTTGTTTTCAGGCTCCTCTTTGTATCTCAATGAGTAAAACTTTATTTAAAAAAACTTTCTTCTGACGGTGGAACAATGTAAAAGCATATCATTTTGATAAAACATAGAGGGACATTTTTTAACAAGTTTTGCATATTGAGGCAGAAATGTGACTGTGTTCTTGGGATGTGTAAAAAGAAAAAATTGTAGACACCCATTTTTTTATTTTAGAGTGTTTCTTCTTTCCTGAGAATTTTAATTTATATACAATGACCTGGATATTTTATCAATAAGAATAATAATCTTAGCGTTATTCTCGGATGATATGTATTATTCCACTGAAGAGTTGTACAATAAACAATACATTATTCAAGAAAAACTGACAATAATTTCTAAGACTAAATGTTTTAATCCAAAACATCATTAATATGAACATTAATTGATAACAATTGTATTAATATTATACATTATTAGGGTTGGATTTAGACTTGTGATCCTAACCTATAACCATGTAATAGACACTTTCCCTCCACAAAATAACAATACCTGCAAAAATGTATAGACACAAAACATAATGCCCTAAGCTGTGGTTGTTTAGCCTATTTGCAAATGAGTATTTTAAAAATTTTCATCCATAACTGCAAGACTTATTGCCTCTTTTCCTTATATTATTATATCAACTAACCATTGTTTGTTTTTAGATTCTGACAATTTTGTTTTCTTTAAATTAAACACATTTAACCCACATTTTTATATGACTTATAACAGAAAATATCCAATTAAAATGGTCAGAAAATTTCTGTCGTACCCTATAACATTACAAATGTTGTTGAGAAATTGTTACTAAATTTAATTCAATAGTATTTTATAATAAAAGTAAATATGGTACAAACGGTTATTTCCTTATAACCGTCTGTACCATATTTCGAGGCCATCATGCTTGCAAATACTCTGCTGCTCAAATCGGGCTGCCCAACATCAAATGTAATACATTTACGTCAAGCTCTCTTTCTCATAACTGAAAACAATTACTTTCAATTTAATGGCATGCAAATAGGCATGTACATGAGCTATAAAGGTTTAGTATTGTGGACCAAAGTGCAGAACAGGCTGCACAATATAAAAGTTATGCCAGGTTAGAGGGCTGGGCCTGGGTGCGGATGGAAGCTTGAAAGATGTACCATGTGGTCCAGCTATGTCGTTCCTGTCTACCACGTCAGGTATCAGACTGAGCCGATGAACAAGGCATAGTCTCTTTAACCCTGTAGTGCCAATAGGCGGGGCAGGGAAAGAGTTCCTTATGAGGCTAATGGCACGATATATAAACAGACACAGGGAGTATATCAATGGGTTCCCCAATATCACCTATGTTGGCAGAACTCATTATGCGGAACATAGAACATCGAATTTTCAATGCCCCCATGATCATCCAATACTCAATTATGTATTTACGTTATACTGTATTGATGACATACTATTCTCGTGGGAAGGCTCTACTGAAGGTTTAGAACAGGGGTCGCCAAAGTGGTCGATATCGACCCCCAGGGGTCGATGCGGCTAAGGGGTCACAACTTTTTTTTTTGCTCATACACATATATTTGTAATAAAACTTTACGGTGGGAGTCAATGTGAGGCTTTGGAAAGTGGTTGGGGGTCGACGGTTTGGCGACCCCTGGTTTATAACAATTTATTCAAGCATTGGCCTCTGTTTATCCTTCTATCAACTTCGCGATAGAGGAAGAACAAAATGCCAGAATCTTTCTTAGATCTAGAAATCCATACATCTCCTGAGCTCCTATTTTCTGTACATCATACAACAACAACACACCGCAAATTATCCCTGCAACAGCCGCCCGGGGCGGAGGAAAATTTCGCCGCCCCTTATTCAGGTATTTCAATTTAAAAGACTAAAATTCAGTTTCGTCACAGAATAAGTATTGAAAAATTCTGTGCTCATTTCAATCGGTCCGAATCGTAGGTGCGACAAAAATATGAAATGAAATGGTTCAAATTTTTACAAGATATTATTATTATTTATTGTGAAATTTTGCCGCCCCCTAAAAGTGCTGCCCCTGCCGCCCCCACTACGCTGCGCCACTGCTTCCAACCTTTATACTACGTGAACTCTGCCATAACTTCCTTCATGCCCTCATGCAGAGGGCCTTACCTCCTTCCTTCCAACCAAGCGCTAGTGGAAGAAGGAATTGCAATTCATTAGCAGAGCTATGCAAAAACCTGGATATTCCCTATCTAAATTCCATTTTCTCCAAAATCGTGTAAAAAAAAACTATTTCCATAGTCTTTTCTTAGTAACAAAGAGAATCTAAAAATAGCATATCCTCAGATACCGTTTATAGGCCCCGTATCTCTAAAAATAGTACATCTTTTTAGAATTAATGGTTTTATTTTATCGTTAACCACACAACCAACGCTAAGAATTATGCAACGATGGAGATGTTTTTAAATTGAATGAAAAATCTGAGGTACAGTAGAGCAGCGGTCTCCAACCTTTTTATCGCCGCGGACCGGTCAACCTTTGATATTTTACCGCGGCCCACTGAGGGGGGGACGTTGATTGTTTATATTTTAGATTGATTTAATTTAATAATTTTAATTGTATTTAAACATGCCTTCAAAATAAAATATAGTTACACCAAAAAATGAATATAATATGATTTAACATTTTAACTCACTAGAACGTTAAATCAATGAGAACCCTGAGCTTGTTTCTTTGCAACAAGACGGTTCCATCTGGGGGTAATAGGAGACAATAACACCCGAAGTGTGTTTCTTATGTCCAGTTTATACCGTTGTTCCGTCGTCCATTAATTAAAAGTCGCACAAACCCGAGAGAAATACACCATAGTAAATAAAATGGAAATACCAGTACTGTAACTTAATGTTCCTTGGGCGGCCCGGTACCATTTGATCCACGGACCGGTACCGGTCCGCGGCCCGGGGGTTGGGGACCACTGCAGTAGAGCATCGATTATCCGACTCAATCGGGGACTGGGGTTGGTCGGATAATTGAAAAGTCGGATAACCGAAAAGTATGAAAAAATCCATTATTAGTGTAGTATATTATTATATCCCATGTAATTAGTATATTAGTATATCGCTATTAACCTACTTCGTGTTGAATTTTCCTCCATGTTATGCCTATCAAATTTTTTTAAAAAATAATAATCGTCGCTATTATATCGTTAAAAATTAGAAAATTAAGCCTCGTTTAAATACTGGCTCTCTTTCATGGTTGATCCAGTGTTGCCAGNATTGAAAGATAATTTTATTATTAGCTTTTTTATTATTTTGTTAATTTAAATTTATTGTAATAAAAAATTACATAAATTATTTATAACTTTTGATTACAATATTTATTTTTTTAATTAAATTCTCAGCTTTTATGAAACAGTTTTCTAAGAAATTACTTACTTTCTTATTAGTTTTCTGCATTCATATAAATTGTTCTTAAACTGTGTATTTACAAAGCCAAAACCCAATAAACATTGATACGTTTAACCTTAGAAGTTATTTAGTTAAAATTTTGGCATACTTGTATTAAAAATAAACTGCAGAATTAACAAATTTTATTTTGTACTATAATATATTTATACCCCTTTAAAGGGGTATAAATATATTATAGTACAAAAAGGGGTATAAATGTATTATAGGTACAGGAAAGAAATCTACGTCTGAAGAATATTTACAATGTTTTAAGATTTTTCTGTATTTTTTTTTTTCTTTGAGTTGTATCATTCTTATATTTGTCACACTGAGTATCAGAGCAAATTTTTGAATATCATTTATATTTATATCATTGAAGAGAAACTGATTAACATTCAATTAAAAACATTCATACAGTTGTATTTATATGAAAGTAATTTTAATTTAATTAATTTCTTAGTTTATAATAAAATTTGTTTGTATTAATCATGTAAGAAATAAATAACCTTAAAACTATCAATATTAACATATATTATTAACATGTGTGAAAGAGAAGTAAATTTAC